CTTTGCCATCATGACAACGACTCAGTCAAAACCTATTTTTCACAGTACAACGGATAGAGTTCCAAAATTCAAACATTTGAAGAATTTGGATGATATATTGTGTCGAATCCTATTTTCTCTGTTCGCGAAATAAAGAATCGCTCCTTGGTGCAAAGCATAAAGGAAACGTTGTCATCGTTGGAATGTAGGTCCTGCTGACACTTTTTTGCTTTCATAATTAGGCCTACCTGGTTCCTTTCTTTTCGTTAAGTTAACGATGTGGGGGGGGGGGCTGATATCCATTTTCATATCATCAGCTAGGAGTGCCTTACTTTATAGGCAGAGTCGAAAGCAGCTATACGGCAGCCAAGGTGCGCAGTTTCCTGTCTCGTTCCCACAGAATAGGACTGATTTATGAATCTAGTGAGAAAGAGGAACGAGTAACTGAACCAGAGTTCGAATCCGGGACCTAGGTTCTGAGTCCAATGCTCTATCGACTGAACAAAACTGATCTGAAGCAACGTGTGATAAATTCGTTGCTCAAGGAAATTCTTGGTAAAGAAGAAGATTGCTCCTCTGCCGGAATAAGAACCCGACATCACCGGAACTACGATTATTCCGAGTGACACGAATAAATCAGATATTCCGCCTAAGAGGCATCCACCTGGAAGTCAGGTGGTGATCTAACTGCATAAAGATAAACCGGAAAGAGACGCTTCGGCGCATGATTTCTGGAGCAGGTTGGCAATGCTGTCAGTGTTCGGAATTGCGGTCTCTCTGAAGATGAATCGGTGTCATTGGTCGCCAAAATCTTCATAGGGTTTATGCGGTATAAGCGTAGTAAGTCTTTGAAGATTTTGGTCATAGAGACCATCTGTTATTATCGTCTGTATCACGTGAACGCAACTATGAAATTGTAGCTGATCTGCTGCCGAAAAACCAAACGCGGCATTATTTATAGCTAATTCGAAGTAATTTTGATGGTACCTATAAACAAATAAGTGATGGCGAGATTCTGCTCTGAAGAAAGAGCAACGAAACGTTGAGTGATTGCAAATTCCGATGAGTTGAATCATGCATGACAAAGCCAAGACCGAATTCACCTGAGCGTTTTCTGAACTAAGGTATTTACTCAAGCACAAATGGTAGACACGTGAAAAACACAGCAGCTCATACGAAAGTGTCTGCCTCACGGCAGACCTGACGCGTTGCCGATGCCTGACGACAAACAGGTGCAAACGTAAATAACAACAACACGCATAGGAAACTAGGACTATTCGCTGTAACGGCCAATGAACGACACTTCAGAACCGCAGGGACATGAGGAAGCTACGACCACGTCACGACCGACACCTCACGACTCAAGTGCTGGTCACATGCGCAGGCGCAGTTCCCGGGTTCGCAACCAAGCAGTCGACGATATAAGGCTTTTACATAGTCGAGTTTCTGTACAACGAACATGCTTTACTTCCACGGGTTGATCGACGTCATCGTGGTGAAGCTGTTCGAGCGAAATCCGCCGAAGTGTCGCAGGTCCGGGTGACCCCCGTATTTTCGGTACGGCGAAGTACAGTAGTACTTGTCCCGCCAGTGTTGACAGTTGTCGACGGCCCGATTCACGTCTTGCATGTAGTAGTCCATTTCGCCGGCCATGTACGTGACCGTCTTGAAGTTGCTGTAACGGCGATGGCTGTCCCTGGCAACGTCATAGTGACCACCGGCAGACGACGTGTCGCTTTTGTCCCTCACGTCGTACAAGTACTTCCAGATCGGGTACACCCAGGTGGCGGGCACCGACGAGTCGTACATCTGCGGAGGCGGGTTGTCGGTCACCGGGACGATGTGCAAGAACGGGTTGGTGACCAGGCCGTGGCCGCTCCGTTCCTTGCCGAACTCGTACATGCTGCTCTGCAACGGATAGTCTTCGACGTACAGGCGACTGCATCGGTCGATGTCCGCATGCGAGCCCCTGAAGCCCCTTCGGACAACGGTCTCGTAGAGGTCTTCTGCGGACGACTGGCGCATCTCGTGGCGGAAGCAGTGCCGCAACGCCCAAACACACCCAAGCGCAGTAGTGGCAGTGCAGCCTGGCAGTTATTAACACGTCGCATTCTAGGCACGCGTAACTTCACGCTTCTAGAGATAGCTGTCCGCTTCAAGTACGTAAGCATACGTGTTTACGATCACGAAAACACCACCGAAACACGTGCTCGCCAAGTCCACGTCACAGCAGTTTGAGGAGCTTCCTCCAGCAGAGGTGGCACCGTTATTATGATTCCTGTGAGTGATCACGTCACGACAATGGCATGTCTGTTGTCGA